ATGTTAGCCTTAGATTCGGGTTTCTTCCATAACAGTTTTATAATATGGGCGAAAAACTCATTTAGGCCAAATACAGAATGCTGAGCATAGACTTTACTGCTTGACTTTTTACCTTGGTGGAATTCCTTTCATTCCTTTATTTATTTCACACGTATTTGTTGAGACCTTACTATGTTCCAGGCACTCCGCTGGATACTAGGGTATTGAAGACAGAAAGAATATTTTCCCATCAGGCACAGTGACTGTAATGGAGACACTTGTCCAAATGAAAACTGCAGACAATGAGATAGCTCTTAGAATGGAGGTGCGGAAAAGCTGAGTCATGACATGATTGGATTTGAATTTTGGTAAAGTCATTTTCTTGTGGGGAGGTAAGATCAAGGCTGGAGTCGGGGGGTACTGTGTTGAGTGAGAGATCTAAAAGCATGAACGTGGCAGTGGGCGTGGAGAGGAAGGACCGGCCAAGAGTTTCTTGGAAGTACCAATCACCAATCTGGAAATTTGATGATTGAATGTGACCGAAAAGGAGGACCTGAGGAAGGTTCTAAATTTCAGGCCTGGGTCCCGGGCGGACTATGATACTATTTACTTCGCTAGTGACCACTGGAGCAAGAGTAGGTTTAGGGGCAAAGAGCATTCATCTGTTTTTTTGAGATGGAATCTTACTCTGTTGCCCAGACTGGAGCGCCATGGTGTGATCTCGGCTCACTGCAACCTCCGCCTCCTGGGCTCAAGCGATTCTCCTGCCTCAGCCTCCTGAGTAGCTGGGACTGCAGGCCCACACCACCATACCTGGATGATTTGTGTATTTTTAGTAGAGATGGAATTTCGTCATGTTGGTAAGGCTGGTCTTGAACTCCTGACCTTGTGATCTGCCCACCTCCGCCTCCCAAAGTGCTGGGTTTGCAGGTGTGAGCCTCCTTGCCCGGCCTCCATTTGTCTTTTCTTCGTTTATGACTATCCTCATTTAAAGTGGTATCTTCTTATTTCAGCACTTACAGAAAGCTATGGCTGTTAGCCATTCCTTTTCCAAGTTGTGAGTCGTACTAAAATATTTATGCATAATGTGTGGACAAGCACTTGAAAGGGATTTTCGTTTCCATAAGATGTATCTCTTAGTCTACTGAGGCCTTTTGATGATAAGAGCTCACAAAGGGTTTTACATCAAGGGTTGCTTAACTGAAGGAACACCTCTGACATCAGCCAACAACCACATACTTGTTAAAAACTCTCAATCTCAGCTTTTCCCTGGACAAGACAGGAACAGGTTGTTGGCTACTTCCTGGCTGTCTGTGGTGGTCGTGTTGATGGTGGGCTCAGCTGTGCGCTGAATGTCGGCGCTGGCTGGGCTTGCTCTGGCTGGCCTAGGTGTGAGTGGAATAGCATCGTGAGGAGCGGGAGCTGGTGCTGATGTGTTGTCACCCCTGGGGGAGCACTGAGCTCCACGTGTTGAGCATGTATGGATTGGTCCTGGGAGTCACTGCAGACTGGGCTAGAGGTGGCAGCAGAGGCATGAGGCATTAGGTAGTCCAGGAACCAGGAAGGCCCCATGGACTGTGAGCTCCCAGAGCACGGGTGTTGTTCTCATGTACCCTCAGACCCCCACCTGGGGCAATGCCTGGCATGCTGGAAACCAAAATATCTATTTGTTAAATGTCAGCAGCTGAGCCACAAATGACAGTAAGCTGAATGAAGAAGGTAGTGCTTCAAGGAAGAGCAGTAAAGACGAAGAAAAGAGGGCCGGGCACAGTGGCTCACATCTGTAATCCCAGCACTTTGGGAGGCAGAGGTGGGCAGATCACAAGGTCAAGAGATCGAGACCATCCTGGCCAACATGGTGAAACCCTGTCTCTACTAAAAATACAAAAATTAGCTGTGTGTGGTGGTGCATGCCTGTAGTCCCAGCTACTCGGGAGGCTGAGGTAGGAGAATCGCTTGAACCTGGGAGGTAGAGGTTGCAGATAGCAGAGACTGGGCCACTGCACTCCAGCCTGGTGACAGAACAAGATTCCATCTCAAAAAAAAAAGAAGTGGGGTCGTCAGAGCCAGGGATGGCTCATGTGGTTTCTGGAGAGTGAATGCGTCCCTACGTCAGAGTCAAATCCAGACTCCAAGGACTACTATTGAAATAAGCTGTGATGTGCAGGCATGCCTGCGCCTACAGCCGCCGCCTTTCTGTGGCACTTCTTCCATATGATGGGGTCACAAAAATATTCTAAATAAGCAATTGATGGCAGGCTGCTTGAAAGCAAACAGCTTGGTGCCTTGAAAGCATAAGCCATTATGTGAAAACACAGGAAACTGTGTCTTTGCATATATTGGGGCCCGAATACATTTCGTTTGCATAAATGAACATTTCCTAGTGACAACGTGGGGGTGGAAACCTTCTGCGTCTGTGGGAGAATGTGAATCTCTGGATGGATAATGGCTCTTTGGCTTAGGGTGAAAAATCACATACAGCTAGTGCTCGACTTACGACCACGATTGGTTCCAACAGACCAGTCGTAACACGATTTGGTCGTAAGTTGTGTAGGCTATATGCACGCGGAGATGGTAGTGCTGCCGGAAGCTGGTCCGCACTGTCGTACGCCCAGCTGGGCAACGTTTGCGCTGCCAGACGCGGAGCAGTCGTGGCTAGCGATTGTGGTCGTAAAGTCAAATGGTCGTAACTTGCATAGGTCGTAAGTCGATCAATACCTGTACTGGTGGTTAGGAAGTCCAGCCATGGTCCACGCTTTAACCCTCTGGGACCTGTTTGTCTGTAAACTGAGGTGGTGCTCTGTTCTGGAACGGTCCCTAAGGGGTCCTTGCAGGTCCTAAGCTCTGAGTTGTGATTGGAGCCTCTGTGGCCCTGTCATTGAGAAGGACGCCCGAGGCAGGCCTCATGTGGTTTGCATCACTTCAAGGAGACTTGATCAGCCTTCCCTGCCCATGCTTCCCGCCATTGTGACTGTCTGAGTGTCTCCCTCCTGAGCCACTCGCTGCTGCTGCAGTGGAAAGAGGCCTCTTATTTATGCACCGATTGATCAGTGCGTGCTGAGAAGCTGTTCAGGGCAGTGAAACAGGGAACACAAAACACTAGAGCCTGTAATCAAGATGGATCGTAATTAAGAACAACCCCCAAGTGCTGATCTTCCTGCCCCCTCCCCACACCACCCTCCCTGCCTACGCTCATCAAACCCCATTCAGCTCTGAAGGGGCTTGTGCCCCGTAAAAGCTGACAGTGAATTTCAGAAGGGCAGATTTTCTCCCTAGTGGCCTGGAGGTACATAAGCCTTGAGTTGAGTTTTATCAATTATCTGCAACAACTGTTGAACCTCAGCCGGTCACCCAGGCCCCCAAATGGTATAGTAGCCCTGTTCATACATGCACAGGCCAGACTCTCCAGTCCCAGTTTCCCCACGAATGGAGTGACGGAGCTGGAAGGTCCTTACAGTGAGGATGGGCCGTGACCCTGTGTGGCAGATGAGAGGAGGTCACTACAGAATTCCCAGGTCACAGGTGGCAGGACTGGAAACTGATCCTCAGTGAACACTCCTGGTGCTTGTTCCTCTGTGTGACCCTGCTTTCCTGTAACAATTAAAGCCAAGTAAATAAGAGACATTGCTGTCATTCAATCCATTTCCTGATTTCTTTTTGATATGGGCCTCTGACCTAGCTTTTTATTTTATCTATAAACATTTTATAAATATATATAATAGTAATATATACATTATTTTGTAAGATTTTCTCTCTATGCTGCTCAGGCTGGTCTCGACTTCTAGCCTTAAGGGATCCTCCAGCTTCAGCCTCCCAAGTAGCTGGGATTATGGGTGCCAGCCACCACACCTGGCAAGATTTTTTTATTTTTATTTTTTTGAGACAGAGTCTTTCTCTGTCGCCCAGGCTGGAGTGCAGCGGCACGATCTCGCCTCAATGCAACCTCTGCCTCCTGGGTTCAAGCAGTTCCCTGCCTCAGCCTCCCAAGTAGCTGGAATTACAGGCACCCACCACCATGCCCAACTAATTTTGGTATTTTTAGTAGAGACGGGGTTTCACCATCTTGGCTAGGCTGATCTTGAACTCCTGACGTCGTGATCCACCCACCTCGGCCTCCCAAAGTGCTAGGATTACAGGCCTGAGCCACTGCGCCCAGCCAATATTTTTAAATAGTAGTTTTAGATGAAGTTTGAGGGGAAAAGTATCTTGGACTGTTTTGTTTTGGTGGGTTAGAATATCAGATACCCGGGTAGAGACATGGTCAGCTTGCCAAGGGACAAATAGTAAACATGAGTCCGTCTACACAGGGTTGCTGGGCTGCTTCGGCCCCGCCCCCATCATGCCTGACAAACGTCTATTCCTTCTGATTGAACACCCTGCAAGAGCCCAGGGAAGGCTATAATTTTTTAGTGGATGTAAGAATAAGAGGCCGGGTGCAGTGGTTCACGCCTGTTATCCCAGCACTTTAGGAGGCTGAGGCAGGTGGATCACAACGTCAGGAGATCGAGACCATCCTGGCCAACATGGTGAAACTCCCTCTGTACTAAAATACAAAAAATTAGTCAGATGTGGTGGCAGGTGCCTGTAGTCCCAGTTACTTGGAAGGCTGAGGCAGGAGAATCGCTTGAACCCAGGAGGCAGAGATTGCAGTGAGCCGAGATCACATCAGTGCACTCCAGCCTGGTGACAGAGCAGGACTCTGTCTCAAAAGCAAAACAAAACAATGATGGCAGAATATGAATGTTCTTATTTGACCCGCCTGGCGAAGAGGATACTTAAAAGTCTTTTTTTTTTTAACTTCTTTTTAAAAGTTTTCACTATAAAATTCTTACATTTGTCAAAGGTGTTTATCGGAAGTAGAGGCTTTTCTGCCAGTGTGGCTTCTCATTTCTATTGGTGCCGGTCAAACCATCAAACTCCTTGGGCACAGCCAGGGCTTAGCTCGTGAGCCAGGTATCTGACTTGCACTGAGCAACCTTGAGTGATGGAATCTTCTTTTCCTCTGCTTCCGTGTTCTCTAGGACCCTGCTTTCTCAGCTGTGATTCATGACAAACTCCAGGTCCCCAACACCATCCGGAAGGCGTGGAATGACCGGGACAACCGCTGTGACATTTGTGCCACACACCTGAACCAGCTGAAGCAGGAGGCCGTCCAGATGGTGCTGGCCTTGGAGCAGGCCGCTGGCAGTGAGCAGTACGACGCCTCGCCTGGCTCGCCCCCGCCGCTCTTCAGCATCCCCACCCTGGTGGGGTCCCGGCACGTGGGTGGGCTCCAGCAGCCCAGGGACTGGGCCTTTGTGCCCGCCCCCTATGCCACCTCCAACTACACAGGCCTCGTCAACAAGCACAGCAGCAAACCCAGCAGCCTTGGGGTCAGCAATGGGGCGGAAAAGAAGAGTGGGTCCCCGACTCACCAGGCCAAGGCCAGCCTCCAGATGGCCACCAGTCCAAGCAATGGGAACATCCTCAATTCAGTGGCCATCCAGGCTCACCAGTACCTGGAAGGCACCAGGTCCCTGTCGAGGACCAACGGGGTCACGCTGTACCCATACCAGGTAAGTCGCCTGTGTGGGCCAGGAAGAGCAGGGCTGGCTAGAGTGAAAGCAGAGAGGTGGGGAGCACTTCCTTCCTCTGCCTCCTCCTGGGAGCCCCGTAACTCAGAGCCTAGCGTTTCCATGTGGCCCCACAGATTCTCATCAGCGTGCTCCACCCGTGCCTGCTGTGGGGGGTGCTTCTGTATCCTCCAAACCCCCCACAGCTGCCCTTTCTCCGCCCTCAGTGCCTCCTTCCTGAGAGACCCTGCTGGTCCAGGGGATGCCAGCGGCTTCTCAGTCAGCAGGTTTACCACATGGCATGGCCATGAAGAGGAGGGCCACAGAGATACTTGGAGTGGGGCCCAAGCCCGACCTGTCCACTTATTAGCAATGTGACCTTGCACATGGGGTTTGCCCTGTCTCAGGCTCAAGTCGCCACTTGCACATGGACGTGAGTCATGAGAAGTAAGTAAGGTAGTGTTTGCATGACACGTACCCCAATACCTGCCACACAGTAGGGGATCATTGTTGTGTTGTTAACAGAGATTTGAGATATTAACACAAATGAGTGAGAGGCTTTTGAAACAAAGGATACTGTGAGTCCCTGAAATCGTGATTTTAAAGCAACCCATGGGAAGTGCTGGGCATTGCTGAGGGTAAAACATATGAGGGAACCGTGGTCCGTGCTGGCACTCTGCTTCCCCTGTCTAGACCGTCTGAGAGAGGTATAGACGCCCTTCCTAACCTCTCCTCCCTTCCTAGACCCGCACTCTCTTCTATTTGCAACTCACCTTAAGAACTGTTGGGACTGGGCTGCCAAGAGTGTTTTTTCCTTTTCAGTTATTTAAATTAGCACATGCCCCCAGGTTTCCCCATAGAGATGAAAAACAGGTCTTCAGTCTCCTAGGGAATCTTTAAAGATGTTCTAATGTTGCCTGGGTGAGTTTCTGTTGGCTGAGGACTGGAGTTTTAATGTAAGTGGCCCCTCCGTCCCCTGCATCAGTGGTGGGAAGCAGCGGACAGCGTTGACCATCACTGGAGTGAAGGGGCGGCCACGGTCAAGGGTGTGTTACTCAGAGAAGCGGTTGGCACATACAGCACATCATCCTGAAGACCTCAGGCTCTCTCTCACTTGGGTCTGTGTCATAGTGGGTGTTTGGTGGGTGGCTTTGCTGCGACGTGGGGGCACAGACTTCTACCAAATGTGTCACCATCTTCCAGGGGCCTCGAGAGTCCTTCACAAGATCTTCTGTAACCAGCCAGGAAATGAGGGAAGAGAGAGTGTATGGAGGATCTCACAGGAGGATTTTGGGGCCCAGCTTTGCCTGAAAGGGATGTGCATTGCTTACATGTATATTCCAGTGACAAGAGTCCAGTCTCTGCTGGGCGTGGTGGCTCACACTTATAATCCCAGCACTTTTGGGTGGGTGGATTGCTTGAGCCCAGGAGTTATATTTCAGCCTGGGCAACATGGAGAAACCTCATCTCTACTAAAAATACAAAAATGATCCAGGTATGGTGGCATGAGCCTGTAGTCTCAGCTACTTGGGAGGCTGAGATGGGAGGATTGCTTGAGCCCAGGAGGCAGAGGCTGCAGTGAGCCGAGATTGCACCATTGCACTCCAGCCTGGCTGACAGAGCAAGACTCTGAAGCGGTAAAAAAGAAGAGAGAGAGACAGACAGACAGACAATTTCATCTCTTGACCCCGCCTTCCCACTGGGGAACCTGGGGAAGCCAATCAACCCATGAGCCCAGGAGAAAAGGGAGCAAGTCTAGGGAACATATAGCATAGTTTTGTTACGTTGGACAAAGGTCCAGGGATTCGCGAAGTGAGTTAAATACATTGATAAAATTCCTGGTGATGTTTTCTAGAGGGTTTGAGAGTGTGTGTGTCTCTTGCTATCTTGAAAGAAAGTGGGAAACATTGAATATTATCCTAAGATGTTAGCATTCTTGGATTGTCGAACTCTTCATTTCACCGAGTGCTTTCTAAATTGCAGATCAGAACATACACATTATTTCATTTAACCCCACGGTAGGTGTATGAGGGAGGCGGGCAGGTGTGGGATCTTCCTTTTGCAGACAGGGAGCATGATACTCAGAGACGCAGAGTGAGTGTGCCACACAGCCAGCGGCAGGATCAGCTCCAGCCTCCCTCGCCCAGGGAGGGCCTTTGCCTCCCACTCCCTCCTGCTTCCAGCTCTCCTAGGCTGCCCCAGCGTCAGCTGTCCACATCTTTTCCAGATACAGTTCCTGTTCAGATCTGCTGTAACAAAGACAAGAACTAGTTTTACCTGCAGGGATCTCATCGCCCCGAGACTTTCGGATAGAATTATCTGGGTTGTGTGTATAAGGAGAATGAGGGACCAGTGGCGTCCTGGGAGAGGCTTCACGTCTCATCTCGGAAGTGACCATCCAGGGCAGGAACAGAGAAGGGCTTCTTTGCATTAGGGGATGATCTGCTTATTTTGTTGTTGTTTGCAGTTTTAAAATATACTATTTAGAAAATTATAAAAAGTTACATGTTGGTTGTAAAATAAAATTTACAATATAAAATACGTGAAAAAGTTTAAATAAGACTTTAAAAGTCGACGTGGCCCAGATGGAAACTATGTAACGTTTGGGTATACTTCCTCCTAATATTTCATATCTCGCAATCTGTAAAATTGTGAGCAGGTTCAATTCTGTGACCTGCATTTCACTTAATACGTTGGATACGTTTCCCCATGCCCTTATGTGTTTTCCTAAAATATTCTGTTTAGCAGTAGCATATTTCATTATATCGATATTATCCGCTCTATGGCAATGTCCTAATTAGGTTGGTGTAAAAGTCATTGCGGTTTTTGGCATTACTTTCAATGGCAAAAACCACAATAACTTTTGCACCAATCTAATTATACCCAAACACCAATTAATTAGAATTTAGGTCTTTGCTGCTATAAATAAAATGCTCAGGTAAACATCCTTTTACCCAGGCCGTATTTTCAACACATCCCTGGGTTGTGTGAGCCACATCCTCATGTTACACAGACAACTCACATTTCACCCTCCACGACTCCAGTGCTCTCGTAGCGCGTGGCCGGGGCCAGTCAGAAGACTCAGCCGCTGCGCCGGCGCTAACGAGCAAGGACGGATGAGCATGGAACTGGTGCTTTCATGGAAAATACTCAAAGTGCGGTGAGAATTTGTGTGTGAAGCGGGGACACTGAAGATGCTGCTTAACAGGCCATGAGGGATTATTGGTGTGTTCCTTTCATTTGTGCAATGATTCTATTCCTCCTCTTTTCTTTTTTCTTTTTTTTGAGACAGAGTTTCACTCTTGTTGCCCAGGCTGGAGTGCAATGGCGTGATCTCAGCTCACTGCAACCTCCGCCTCCCAGGTTGAAGCAATTTTTCTGCCTCAGCCTCCCGAGTAGCTGGGATTATAGGCATGCGCCACCACACCCAGCTAATTCTGTGTTTTTTGTAGAGATGGGATTTCTCTATGTTGATCAGGCTGGTCTTGAACTCCGACCTCTGGTGATGTTTGGCCCACCTTGGCTTCCCAAAGTGCTGGGATTACAGATGTGAGCCACTGTGCCCTGCCTATCCCTCCTCTTTCTTCCCAACCTCAGATGAAAGAGAATTTGCTGCACAAGTATCCAGCCAAGTGCCAGGCACTGCGCTAGGTGGCGGGTGGGGCTGCAGCCTCGGGCTGGAAATCCTGGTTCCTATCCTGAGGTCCTCACAGTGGGGAGGAGCCAGGTGAGTGCAGAGGTGAAGAGATGCCCACTGCTTTGGGAGCATGCAGACAGACTCATAATCCAGCCTGCTGTGGCAAAGCCAGATAAACCAAGATTCACACAAGCCACCAACTTGCAGTCGTTCTGGGTGCGTTATATTTCTTCTTTCCAACTCCAGAACAGACCAATTCATGCATTTCCCCCGAGTAATAAAGGGACCAGAGGAAACCTCTGTGCGATAAAGGGATTTGGTGCCTGGCTGTGAATCAGTGTGAATCCGTGTCCCCTGTTTTGTGACTGTCTTGTCCTGATGCCCTGGGGTGGGGGCTCTGGGTCTGGCCAGACTGAGCGTCTCCTGTCGCGACGTCTCCCTGCAGTAAATATTCTGCAGTTCGCAGTCTGGCCAGCTCGTCAGAGATGGTTGACTGCTCTGAAAGCTGACCTCATTTTTCCTGCTCACCCATACTCCCACTTCCCTCCCCACAGAGCAGATGGCCTCTGGATCAGTGCCAGAGCTGTTTCCCGGGCAGAGAAGCATCTAGACTTTGTCACTACCAAGGGTGCGACTCCACACCCACGGAACCCGAGCCTCTAGAAATGAGGGAGAGGACAACTCTGCCCTTCTACAATTTAGCTGTAGCCAGGATGAAACGGCACGGACAGGCTTTCCAACAGCGAGCTGGTGAAGCCTGCGTCACGTGGGCGATAGAGCGGTCCCCCTCGGTCCCCGTTACCCACACCACTGTGCACTCATCTCCAAACGCTGCAGTAGGAAGATTCTTGATTCTCTTCTGCTGTACCCTTCATGTTTCTCAGGTACCTCCAGAAAGACCAGGAAGCATCACAGATAAACAGAAATCAATCCAGAGAGATTTTAAAAAGAGCAATTTAGGAAGTACTGAGCTTACATCGAAAATGCAGAACAAACCACAGAGATAATGCTCATTAAATGTCTTAGAAAATTGAGGCAATAGAAGATAAGATGAACTTTCAAAGAAAGACTTTTTGTTAATCTGTAGACATTTATCATAATCTATGCATACTTACAGAAAGCAGAAAATTCTCTAAGAACAGGGGTCCCCAGACGCCTGTTACGCACCCCTTACGAGAATCTAATGCCTGATGGCCTGAGGTGGAACCGTTTCATCCCATCTCCGCCCCCTAATTGTCTTCCATGAAACGGGTCCCTGGTGCCAAAAAGGTTGGGGATCACTGCTCTAGAACCTTCATTTTTTTCCAACTTTTATTTTCTGTTTGGGAGTACATGTGCAGGTTTGTTAGGTGGGTAATTGCATGTC